CGTTGACGTTGACGCTAACGCGATGTCAGCGGCTTCTTCGACACTCGCGCACATTATTTTGCAAGCTGTTGTTAGCGTTGACTTTTTTCGTCTCTTTTTTCTATATTGACAATTTTTACAGCTTTTACCGTGTTTTTTTTTCCGGTAGGGTAGGCGTTGTTGTTGTTAGGCGTGTGGCCGTCTCAGTGACGCCATGCTTAGGCACTCGCTTTTATTATCTGCTGCTATTTTTTTTTTATTTTCTTCTTTTTTGTTTCTTATATTTTCAGTCTGTGGTTTGACTACGTTTTTATGTTTAGGCAACGGGGTTGCGCCGTTATCTATATACACATTTGCGGTTGCCATACCTCAGGCTAATGTGGGTGTATGTGTGTGTGTGTGCTTCACTTCGCTTGTTTATGTGCTGGGTTGGTTCTTTTTAGGATATTTTAGTGGCGTGTATTGGCGTCATTATGAATGAGCACTCGATGTGTTGCTTTGAGTGTTGTGTTAATGAACTTTCATTTGCAAACAACAAACAACACAAGAGAAACACCGTTAATCAGTTGATTGCATTGGTTTCGTACACTAGCAAGTTTCGTTAAGTGACCCTTCTCACATATACACAGTGGCGCCGCACACATTTAAATACGCACGCATGCACTTGTTCGTCCAGCCTCACTCACTCTCTCGCACTACTCTACCACTACCTTGGCCCCTTCCACTCGCATGCTCACTCTCGTTCGCTCGTTTGCTCTCTCTCACTTCACTGTATCTCTTTCCCTCTTGAGCCAACGAACGCATTTGGCAATAGCACGAAAAGTTGCATGCTCCAAAATACGCACACACACACACACGCATACAAGCGAATTCTACTTGCTCGCTCACTCACACTGACTGTTGGACTATGCTGGCTGCTCACACACGCACCAGACTGTCGTTAGTTTTAAACTTATTTTTGGCGTTCTTTATGTGCTTGCATTCTCGCCGTCTCGTCTCGATGACGACCCAGACCCGCATTTTCTAGTCGCTGCGTTGTGCTGTATGTGTGTGTGTGTTGTGTGTGCCAGTGTGTATTGGTATCAGTATCCGTGTATGCCTGTTGTGTGAGAGTTAGTATTGAATATTTGGGAGCGGGGCTATCAGTCGAAATTTTCATCGTTCAGTTTGTGTGTGCAAGTGAAACGGCACCTGTTTACCCACCCTCCTCTACACACACTCACACATGACAGAGGGCAGACTTAATGCAATGATTTTCCTATTTGGGTTATGATGGATTTTCTTTTCCTGTGACCCAACTATTCAAAATTTGCATTACAGCTCCGCTTATTGGATGGAGCTGCTGTAGATTGATTTTGGTATACAATTTTCATAAAGCTGAACTGCAGAATGCTTAGAGATAAGAAAAAAATGTTATTTAGATTGTTAAATTGTTATCACTTCCTATTTCCATTATTATTTTTGCCTAGAGCATTGAACAGTTTCCTGCACCTGTTTTACTTATTTTTTATTTCCTTAGCTGCGAATGCAAACGAATTGTTGAAATATCAGACACACACATACGAACATACGATAACTCACACGTACATACCTAAGCTCTCTGTATGCAGAGGCTTACAGCAATAACAAAAACCAGAAGAAGAAGAAGTACCAAATGTAGTTTAAAGCGCAACTAAAGCTAACACAGTGTAGTTGTGCCTGTGGGCGTTGACTGGGGGGTGTGGGTGGTTGGGGTAGAAATGGTATTTTAGTGCATATGCCAGCATACGTACAGACATATGTATATGTATGTATGTATGTGTGTGTGTATGCCTATGTATGTTTGCATTTCTATGTGAGTTGAGTGGATTTTATATCAAAAGTACAGTCGCTCAGCGATGTTGTTGTATTTCATAGTTTTATATGTGTGTGTTTGTGTATGTGTGTGTGAGTACATAAATTGCATGCTCATGCTTCAATAGTTGCATGCAACGATGCTTCGTTGAGTTACAAACACAACCACACATACAGATATATGTACATATGTATTTATATATATTGCATGTACTTGTATGCGGCTAAGCCTAAGCGCCAAACATTGTTGACAACTAAAACAAAAGCACAAACGGGAGAAACAGCAACACAAAATCATTGCGATCCCATTTAGTGATTACGTTCACAAGCGTTAGAGCGAGAGCGAGAGAAAGAGAGAGCGCGCGTTTATAACAGATAGCCCCCGGGCAGCAACAGAGATTTAGTGGTCACTCTCTCTTCGCGCTCTCGTTCCGTTTCTCTCTCTCTCTCTCTGTCTCGCTACCTCACTTGCTGTACATGTGTATGTGCGTGTGTGTGTGTGATTACTAAGAGTTCCTCACGTTTGGTGCCAACTTGAACTTAATTGCACGCCAATCGATTGTGTTTCGTTCCGACATTTTTGTTGTTTGTGTATTTTTTTTATCGATAACAAGTGTCAACATCGCTCAGTCACGATCGGGCCAGAGCAAAGGGCAAAGTTGCTGCAGCAGTGCAGCGGCAAAGGGTCAGTGTATGGTCACACACAGTGCTGCCAGAGGCTGAATATATTGTTGACTTTTTTTTGTTTTTTTATGGCTTTTTTTTTCGTCGCTTCGCTTAACTCTGGCAAGGCGCAGAACGAAAGAGAGAAAGAGCGGGCGCTGCTGCGACTGTTTGTGTGTGTGTGTGTGTGTGCGAGCGAGTCAGCATGCGACTTGGCTGTGCCTGAGTTGGAGCTCGGAATGGGAATGGGCTTGGGGCTTTTGGCTTGGGGGTGTTGGGGACCTTTACTTTTGGCTGCTGTCGCGTGTTGGTGGAAAAAAATCGATTAAAAGACATGAATAGAATTTATATTATACGCATACAAATATATATGTATGTATATGTACATAAATTTACTTTAATTTGCTGGTTTATATAAAAGAAAAGTGTTGTAAAATGTTGTATTGATTTTTCTAAGCTAAGGCTTGGGGTGCAGCAGCAGCAGCAGGAGCAGCAGGAGCAGCGGTGAATGCTTATGTATCAACATTTTTCGGCAGCAAACTATGCCCAGCGGTTGGGGGTGGCTGCGCCCTAAGGGTTGTCGTCGTCGTTGTTGTTGTTGTTGTTTGTGTGTTAGTTGAAATGCAGACGTTTTTGCATTGTTGTTTAGTGGGTGGCTCTGTGGCTGTAAAGTGGCCCAAAACACGGACAACACACGCACACACACACACACACACTGTTATACTATGGCCGGGTACAGCTGTGTGCATGTGTACATAAAGCACTCACCCACACACACACACACACACACACATACAAATATATAGATATATATATATAAATGTATACAGCTACAGTCGCATGCAAAAACGGATACAGCTGGAGAGACACAGATACAGATACATATACAAAACAAGCTATGTGGGTGGTTGGGCGTACGTTGGTGGCGGCGGAGGCGTGGCAGTAGTTGGGTGGCAACTGACTCGCTTCCTTCCTCGCATAGTTCAAGTATGCATATAATATCCGGGACTCGGGACTTCGGTCGGTGCCGAAAACGAAGCAGCTTGCAATACCAACGGGATTTGGGAGGCTGCTGCTGTGGTTGGAGTTGGATGGGTGGCTGGGTGGTTCGGGTGGTTTGGTTGAACAGCATCCGACAAAGGCCTACGGCGATTGCGACGCGAACAGCATTGCAGCTGTTTGAGTTGGGCGGGTGGGTGTTCGGTTGGTAGGTGGTTTATTCGGCTCTGCTTGAGTGGGTTTGTTGGTGGGTGGTGGTGCTGCGCGTGTAGAGTGTGGAATGTTGGCTGGCTGCGTGGCACTGGTCGTTGTCCCTTTTTGCTTTTTGGAGTAGTACAAATGTGTCGCGAGTGAGTGAAGAGGCTGGGCTCGCGGGTGGTGCGGGTGGCTGTTGTTGTATGCCATAGTTGCGTAATCTATGCGATGATATGCCACTGCTCGCATTTTCGGCCCCCCATTGTAGTTTTGTGTGTGTGCTCGAACTACGACCCGCTGGCGATTGCATAAAGCACAGATCAGGGCCATGGCTCCAATCTAATAGAGGAGCTCTGAAGGGCAGAAAAGGATGGGGAACTGGAGTAGCGGTAGTCTGTTTGTTTGCATAGTACGGGGGGCAGTGCCTGGCTCTATGGTTGGCTTAGAAACAGCTGCAACAACAACTGACGACAACAACAACAACAACAAACTACAACAAAATCCACACAGCAAATGCAAATTTGGAATTGTAATGCACAGGAATCTGAAATAGCTGCAGTTTTTGCAATAGCCGAAACATATGTAGTCAGAGATACATCTAA